GTTCGTGAAGAACGCAGTCGGTGCCTGTTCATTCTTAAGTGTGAAATGTTTTGCTCTTAGATTAATTGCCACCGAGAAATAGACAAGAAGAAGGAGCCAGGAAGAAAGAAATGCGGTTACTGGAAGAAACTTTCGTTCGTCCGACGCCATGAATTCACAGTCAGACTCATCACCAGAGGCAGAATCATATAAAGGCAATGTTTGCACAACCGCTACGGTAGGTGGATGATGCAGTTGCTATACCACTACAAATTTCTCAAAATTGGTGACTTCCGCATTCATGGCAGATGGTTCCACTTGATTCGACGGTTGTTTGATTACCCTCGACCGAGTCATCACCATCATCATCATCATCATCATCATCATCATCATCATCATCATCATCATCATCATCATCATCATCATCATCATCATCATCATCATCATCATCATCATCATCATCATCATCATCATCATCATCATCATCATCATCATCATCATCATCATCATCATCATCATCATCATCATCATCATCATCATCATCATCATCATCATCATCATCATCATCATCATCCTCCTCCTCCTCCTCCTCCTCCTCATCATCCTCATCATCATCATCGTCGTCGTCGTCGTCGCCGCCGTCGTCATCATCATCATCATCATCATCCTCATCATCACCACCAACACCACCATCATCATCATCCTCATCATCGTCGTCGTCATCGTCATCATCATTCATGTTTGTTATTGGCGCGCAGTGACCCTCCCTTACATATCCTGTACTGCGACTTTGTCAGGACAGAATAGTTAACCATGCGGTAGCGCGCACGAGAGCGCTGCTCCCGGTGCCAGTGTCGGTGATTTAAATTGCCGGACAATTGTTATGTCAACAATAATTACCAGGGATGAAATCGCAGGAATTAACAACTCGCCTGGAAAGAATCGGGTAGTTGTAGTATTAATTAGAACCATCGGCCAGGAATGCAGGATTTACCAATTGTGAATTTAAGCAATGTTTTTCCGGAATCAATTTGCATAAGGCAAAGGCGACAAAGCATGCAGAATTTACTGACGACCATTACAGTTAGACCAGCTAAAGACAATTTGCCTATGCACGCCACATCAAACTGTATTTATGAGTTTACATGTAGTTGCGGATGCAAGTACATCGGGCGCACGCAAAGGCAGTTGACAGCTCAGTCAGCTGAACACATGCCGAAGTGACTGAAAATAAAGTACCCAGGAGCTCAATCACAAAACACCTAGTGGACACGGGCCATTCGGTGGACCCAATGGTTGCATTCAAGGTCCTATTTCGGGTGACGACCGGGCGTCTCTTGCGCTTTGCAGAGGCCGCTGCGATACGGAGGACGAAACCAGAACTCTGTAAGCAGTTGAACCACGTGATAAACCAGGAACTACCACGGTAAGGATCGATTATGGACGAAACCCTGTTCCCATGTGCGCCCTCTCATTTCGCCCCCAACCCTCCCCGGCCTGGCTGAATGCTGCCCGCGCGTTGCACTCAAAATCACGCCGGACAAGTTCTCACCGTAATCCAAACTCTCATACTTGGATGACTTCTCTGTCCCCTCCGCCCTCGCCATGCGCACCCGCATACTAGACCCAGGTTTCATGTTACCTATCGCCTAGGTCGATCGTTGATTGAACAGTTTGCCTTGCCATATAACTATGCAATGACCGTGTACAGCTGAATGAGAGGTCTCAAAATTTATGACGTCAGTAAATTCTGCATGCTTTGTCTCCTTTGCCTTACCAATTATGATAGGTATGTATGCAGTGGGATAGCGACCGCAACACTTGTGCAAATACTACCTTTATGTGATGCAGTCTCAGACGATGAATTCGAGTGCCAGTCCGAAACGTCGGCCGAAATAAACTCTTGTTCCAACAATCGTTTCCCTTTCTTCAAGACATGCTATTCATTGTCGGAGAAAATTTACGCTCGGCAACTTGCAGGCAGACTTGATCACCGGATCTTCACTTTTCAACAGACTCAATATCAAGATGCACTAATTTAAAAAGACCTGGGACGACATAATTTACGAGTACATTAAACAATAACATTCTTGATATAGACTGCTGAGTGATAGGACCAAAAGTAGATATCTAGGACTTTGGGGCGTCAGTCACTAAAGTAACTCGATAGGCATAAATGATCGTCCTTAAACGGAAGTACTCCCTAGGGGGTCTTATTAGAAACCGTTTGTTCACATGGAATTTGACATTCAATCATATTCAAGCAGTTTCCCTGATAGTAGCTGTGTCATTTCTGGGAGGTCTGTTGTCAAAAGTTACGACCATTGCTGACCAACGGCATTCAGGCAAGCTAACGTTGCCACAAAATAAGCCTTGTTTATGACTTCATCACAGATATCTGAATGCAATTAGCGGCTTTAGACGTACAGAAAACCCAAATTAACTTGATTTATGCAACAAAAATATTCCTGCCAGCTGATAAAGTCAATGTAAATATCTTCGAATACTGTTATAGTCAACATAAACTACGTAGGAAGTTAATATTTAAATTACTTGCAAGCCCGGGGCATCATTTGATGTAACTACTATTTGCTTGTGGCAGAGGCGAAAGATAGGGTAGAAACACGCCTTCGGGATCAGACTAGAAACGGGCGGTTAACGGGAACACAACCAACAAATAACATCGGACAACGAAGAGGCTGAGGCCGGCCTATCTGTTTCATCAAGTTCTTAATAATATTAAGGTCCAGTCTTATGGCTCCTGTTAGACATATCGGAATTTGTTAACAATAAGGGTCTGTTGTAGCGTCCTTATTGCCCTTATTCGGGCTCATCTGAAGAATTCAAATTTCCATCTTTACAAAGTGTTTCAGTAATTGTAATGCTTTTAACTTCCGGATTTACAGTATGCGAGCGTTGCTATCGCCTCTGTGGTGACAATCCTACTGTTGAAGATGCCAGATAAGTCGTGAGTATTCGGAGTTGAAAGTAACTGCAGAGTAATTGATCGCAAACGAATTTGCGACGATTTACGATCTGCGGAAGTTTATTTGGCTTCCCGAAAAACAGCGTAGGATCCATGTCTGTTGAAAGCTGCTCCGCTCTGGAAGACCAGCGCTCTTAAGTGACTTCGCGTAAATCTCAAGAACGAACGAATCGCTAACACGGGGTAAGATTACGAAGACTGAATGGCAGGTTTTGGCGGAGAAATTATAAAGATATGCCTATAGATCCCTTATTCAAGTTTGTCCTTAGTCCTTTTCTCGCATCCGTTTTTGCAGCTTTAAGTTGCCATTTTACATTGCATATGGGTTTGTTTAATGTCAAGGTCGCTAATGTTTCCGGTTGCGTATGAGGAAAGTTTTATTACAGCCAAAGACACTTTGGAATACGCACAAGATACTTTATCACATCCTAGACATAATAGAAATGCATAGCGCAAGTGTATCCAGGGTCCTTCAAAAAGTGCTTATGTTCGACTTATAGTTTGCCGTCCAGAGCTTTAGTTTCAGCATCTTATGGGCCAGATGTTGGTTTTGAACATTGCCTGGTTCGGTAAAGATAAAATTGCGGCTTACAGCACAGTAGAGCCAAAGTTCACGGCACTTAAAGAACGAGTTAATAGTTCATCAGAAAAAAATACTAATCGGTGAGCAGGTATCGTGAAGGTTATACACGAAGAGTTCCCCATTGAACTCAGTGGTTTGATCAGTGGAATGTGCTTCTTCACTGCCTGGCAATTTGGGCAGTTAGATCATCTGTCCGTTGCCGAAGGCAGTAAGCGCGCAGAACTTCGCCGTCATTTACGGGGTAGTCAGCGTTGCCCGCTTTGTTTGTCACTCGATTTTGTCAGTGTCTACGCCTAACGATTGACAGTCGGATTTGAGCCTGCCACGCTGACGTCTGCATGCCGACCAGATCAGGATCACGCAAGCGTTATTGGGCTGTGCACCCATAACGAATGCCGTACATTGGAGGGGCGTGGTGGCGCGCCTAGGAGCGGGCTCGCGCCGCACCACTCACCTGGTCCCTTTCCCGCCTTCGGCCTTATTGACACTGTCTCGACACCGGGCCCATATGAGTTGGGGAGTAGAGTGCAGTAGATGCAGCGCACGTTTACTATTATTATAAACTAATTCACGTACAACTCGCCGTACCTGAGCCCGCCATTCTACAAGGCATACGACGTACATCGTAGGAAATGGCGGGTGAACTGTCGTGTCGGCCATATTTGCCTGACTGTTTTGACCAATTAGTCATGACAAAAAAGTGTAGCTACCCTTTAGGAATAAACGGACTACAGAGAGGTAGACGAAGACCGAAGGCCACCTCATACCAAATAATTTATCACTAAGAAGTTACTATTGAAACAGCTCGATGCTTGTGGTTAAATCGGTATGCTAGGTAAAATTCAAAGCGGGAAATCCCTTAACAATGAAGTGACAAACTAAACGGGCCCTACCAAAATAAATGTAGTGGTTAGATATGCACATTAATCCTAGTCGGGTTACAGAAATCCGGGCTCTTTGCTGCAGGCACGATAACACCTAAAACCTTTGACATTATTTGCCATGAAGTATGTTTCGTGTGGTATCGGAGTGCGACTCTGCCAATAAATATCTCATTCTCCACCAATGCTATATTCTTCGGGAGAAAAACCGTAAACTTGGTATTTCGTTCGACGTTTGCGTTTCTACTACATCCCCAGTCCCTCGCTCGGCGATTAGTAGATGCCTTCGCTCTTCCCCTCAATATTTAATTCTTTGCGTTAATTTTTCCCCCTTTACCTAGAAAGGATATGCCCATTTTAAGGCGTGTCCTTCGAGTGCACTATTCTGCTCTGGTGCTTCTAATGTCGTTTTAGTGTATGCCATAATACACCTGCATTTCATGATGGGCAAGCAATCTGCTAATCGGATTCTACATGATAATGACGATGTTCAACCACATTACAGTCGGCCAGGGAACACGGAAAAGTACAAAAGCACTAGATTTTATTGCTTGTACAAAAAAGGAGGAGCCTAGTAACCATAGCCATAGCCGTGGCCGTAGCCATAGCCGCCGTACTCCTTCTCCTCGTGGCATTCACTGCCCTTGCACACCGTGGCACAGTGACCGTCCTTGCAGTCGTAGCCCTCGTACTCACCACTGTGGCAGTGCTCCGAGCTGCAGCCCGCAAAGTCTACACGACCACTGAATTGCACGTGACCCTTGTACTGGCTCTGACCCTTGGAACCACCCTCCTCAAAGCGTTTGCCATAGCCCTCCTGTTCACCCCAGCTCTCAGCACTGGTCTCTGAGAAGGCATGGGATTCGTAGCAGCCCTTGGGGTGGCAGATGTAGGCGCAGCGACCGGCCCTGCAGCCATAGCCGAAGTAGTCACCCTTGTGGCAGGTCTCCTCGTAGCACCCATCGAAGTAGATGTCGCCCTTCACGGCGGCATGGCCGTGGAAGTGACCGCGACCAACGCTGCCGTAATGAGACTCCGGGTAGTAGTGGGCTGAGGCGACAGCGACAAGAGCGCAGAGGATGAGGAGTTTCATGGCTGCTGTGGTTGTTGTTTTGTTGCAGAGGCATCAGTCTGTGGGTCTTTTATACACCAGTGTGTCGGGTGCTTCTGTGTTCGATTTATCTGTGCACTCTGTCAGCTGTTGATGGGATGGCCTAATGGAGTATGGATTTGTCGATCTTGGTTATCTTAGATGTCGGTTGCAACTCTCTGGAAATCTGTGGCTATGCTAGGCTTGTCACTGCAGGCCTAGGCGCTGGAATTCACTATGCAAGAAGTCTGGAATTTGAGAGTGCGGGAGAGTTAAATCTGGCGGGGTTTATATATTTCGGATTTTGTGGGCTACGTAATGATATGCAACATTATAATCAGCATTGATAAAATTGCTGCGAGTTACAGAGGGACAGTGTACTGCAAACGCATTAGACTTTGTGGCTGACAGAGCATAACCACATATATGAAGCTGCTTATGTTGCTCAGAGCATGACCACCACCCCAGTCGTAATCATTCTCCTCACGACATTGGCTGCTCTTGGACACCGTGGCGCAGTGGCCGTCCTTACAGTCGTAGCCTTCGTACTCGCCGTTGTGACAGTGTTCTGATCTGCAGCTGGCAAAGTCTACTTTCCCGCTGAATTAATGAGAATTCAGAGAATGAGGAGCCTAAGGGCTTTGTTGGGGCTGGGGATTTTTCTACTGCACAATCTCCAGTCTCCTGGTTTTAGATTCCACCAAATTCGGCGCAGCTTTTGTTCGGTTTGCTGGTGTACCTTGAGATACTTATGGAAAGCGGGATAAAATATCGCTGAGGAAGGCAACTTTTGGTTATTTTTATTATTGCATTTCTTAAAAGTCAGCAAATTGCAAGTGCGTTTTTTTCACTCCAATAAATTTTGTTGTTCAATTTATTTCGTTCAAAGGAACGGCTGCAAATACTCGTTTGGTTGTTGCTTGATGACCCCTGGCACAATTTTAAAATGTAGTTTCGCGCGAAGATTTATTTAATTTCGAAGTCGTTAGATCTGTGGAACGGAATAGAGACCAGCAGTTTGCGTGCCAGGGGTAAGTAACATATCCCATTGATTTGCAAAAATCCCCGAGGCGGGTTACATTTTGCACAAGTCCAAGCCTGGATCCAAGTAGACGAAGCAGGGACCTGCGATGTCCAAGCATTCTTATTGAGGGAAGCACTGCTTACAATCTCATGGGAGAAGGGACTCCAGAAGCGAGTAGACCGTGTCGTCGACGGAAAAAAAGCCCATGGCTGCCTTCCTCTGTAATTGCTATTAAATAGATATATTCAAATGCAAGGCTCGTCCCTTTCTTTCCATACCTCCCGGCAGAATGACATCGGTTATTCTGGCTACGTGGAATGCTCATACTACTCAGATAGTAGAATTGCCGGTAGACCGATGACGAGAATGTTGCCGGCAGCCATCGTGGACATGTCTGGCCTCCTTGTTCAATACGCCATCGTGCCAAGGTCATTCCCCTTTGCAGCGAGCGGTTCCACACCCGCTGACTTGCAGCCACTCGATCGACTTCACCTCGGACGCACATGCACCCATAGGGTCGCAGATGCCCATACGCCACTTGAACTCGTCATCCCCCTGCAACCAAAAACGCTCGCACACTAGCCCTCGGAAAAAACAACAAACCATTTGGACACCACTTCAAATTTCCCATAAACCTACAAAACGGCTGCTAAAACTATCTCTAGAACTCTCACACATGACTGGACGCAGTCAACGCCAGCCCCGCCTTCCCCAACGGCCACTGTGGCCTCAGAGAACAACTCAGGTTCCTGTATACAATAAAATCTCCATTCTGGTGCCCTCTATATTTTCCTCCAACATGGAATTTGACCTGACGGTTGTAGTGCTCTGAGCACACACTCAAATTGCTCAGTCGCTGCAAATAACGCCATCACGACCTTCAGGTTCGATTTCGGATGGAAAGAGAAGATGGACGCCAGTTGAGAGGACTGTATATTCTGCACAGAACAACGCTACGTTCTGCGGGCTGCTGGACTGGACTCTTTTTTCTCGTTTTAAGAATGAAGCTGAAAATCAAACCGCTGAGTCGGTCTGCGGCAAAGAAACCACCAACCGAGTTAGGGGCGGCTATACCTGGCACGGCCGAAAGCAGATTGGGTTCTACCAACAGAGTCAGTACGAGCTGAAGAAAGTGCAGGTCTTAGACTTCACAGATGTTGGGAAACGATAAATTAGATGGTTTTATTTACCCCATTGTCATGCATGCCCTTGAGCTCGCAGACCGAGGTCAACAAAACTGGCAAGGCGATAGCACTGAGGGAATGCAAACTCTCTCCCCAATGAGCGACTATTTTTGCTTGAACACAGTCGGACACAAAATCGCATTCTTCCGGAGGGAAAGTGAAATGAAGCAGAGACTCTGGGGAGGCAGAACAATCGATAGGCTGACTGGTTTCCGTGAAATGAACGTTTACTTTTGCCGGTCTTACATTATACTACCTCGTTACTGAAGAAAGCACAGGTCTTCAGACGCTGGACTGAGCATATCAGGATTCTAATATGTAGACTACTATGCGGTCGTAAACAAAATGCTCTAAGCAACACCAAGTGCCGACTGTTATTGTTCACGACCCCTGTGAAAGGGAGACAGGGCAGCATGAAAAATGTTTAGCACAACAACTCTGTACAGTACCTCAATCTCCGCAGGATCCTACAGATTTTGAGCCACTTGGCATTAGATAGGCGGATCGTAATACTCCACCACATGGTTGTACGTAAACATATACCCATAGAATCTCATGGACGGTACGATGGACGACTTGACTGACGAAAATGAAAACGCTAGATTCTTGATACCGTTTGCTCGTTCTTAGTAGTTTAGAAGAACCCTTGCGTGCGTTCTGCCCAAGCTCCCAAACAAGGCATTTATCTCCGTGGTGTAATGAAGATCCCAAAAGTACCGCAGAACACTCGGCGATTTCGGGAACAATGTCAGCAAATGAGAAGAAGTCTCTACGATCTACACCAAGCTTACAAGGACCTGCGGCATTGTCAACCAAAACCAATTTTAGGTATTGATCGTGAAATTACGATGTTTAAAAAGGCTCAGAAAATTAGTCAGGCAACTTCAATGCGGCGTGTTAAGGGAAAAAGGTCAATTCCATAAGACTCCAGACTGGTTATCGATTAGCTAGATTACATGCCTAGAGACGGGTCCGTGACAATGAAGCTAGAATACAGTTGCTAGATGAAATTGTAAGCTTACAATCTCTCGTGAAGCGAGAGAACATTTCTTCCATAAAATGACTGTTTGGTGATTGTGAATTCCGTTGAGCTTCAGGACGTCCCTGATATATTAGTGAATATTAGATGGTTTTCAGAATTAACAATCAACTACAAAAGTGACAGATTCTGTAGTTTTGGTCTAGCATGGCCTTTAAACTAAAACATTTAAAAGAAAAATTCACGTAAATAGAGCATTATCTTGCGCTCTCAGTTAGGCTTGTAGCGATCTGATTACCTGAATCAATGATACACGAAAGCCCAGCACCGAAAAAATGAACGTCCAAAACGAAGGTCCACGACAAATATATACTTGGTCGACCGTAAAAACTAAATTTGTAGATGTTTTCATTGAAAAACTAACTTAGAAGTATGTTATGCATGAGACGAATACTTCTACAGAATACTTCGGATGAATTAGTCATGCGCACAATGTTAAACGAGCCCCGAAATGATCATTCAGATTAATGTTATCGCCTTTCTTTGGTTGCATTATCCAATGCATATCAAGTTCTGCTACCTTCTTTTTAAGGCGTCCGATCTAATAGCCACGGTGTTGTCTATGTTTCAGTTTGTCCAAAAGAAGGGGGTGACCATCATCAAAACGAACCGGATACAAAAGAATAAGTAGAAGCGTAAATCCAAAAAGTCTGGCTTACTAGTGACTTACACCACGAAATTCCAACCTTTCGCAACCTCTGCCTAATGCCATTTCTAATTGGAGACAGGAATATCCATTGGCAGACTATTCGTCCACAGTTACCTCAGTGAAAACACCCAACACCGCAAAACACCGACACTATTGAAATTAATCTGCTTACCTTCCTTCGCCTCAGCCGCATGTTGTGGTCCTGTTTCGACCCCACGGATAATTTTAAAATCAACGTAGTGTGAAGGCCACAGGAATGCAAAAGGATTTCCGATGCCCAACCCTGTGGTATAGATCAACCATTGAAGACGCAGACCTCACTTAAAGACCGATCAGGTCACTCATTCGGGACTAGTAGCTCCGATTGGCAAAGTTGAGAGACCCAGGTTGATAATTTGAAAAAAAGAATAGTTTGCCGAAATAGGTTTATTTGGATGGTGACACCTCAGAGAGATAAGTTGGCTAACCACTGTCAAAGTGTAAAAGCTCTTAATCGAACAGAAATAGGAGTAGCGTGTCGAGGTAGTCGGCCTCATGCTGATCGATTTTTTTCCTTTCTCGCCGCCTCGGCCTTTTGGGGGATGTTTATTGGACTTCTTAACTGTGTGCTTTGCTAGTCGCTACCTGGAGGGGGAGGCGATGGAGCTCCTACCCGGATTGGTCGGCCTGGCCGTCCTTTACCTTCACGTAGAGTGGGCTCGTCGTCGGGCTGTATCTGTACGGCCTTCTTAAATATAACTACGTGAGGTTTTGTAAGATGTAGTAAGGTTTGGATGCCTGTTGATGGAGTTGGCATCTGGGTGTCACGCCTCGAGTGTTGGCCTTTCTACCTTTGTGATGTCCCGGCCTAAGGCGATAGCTCCCTGAAGATCAGAATCAGGGCCAGTTTTCTAACGTGCGTATCAGGCTGAGAGTTTGAGTATAGTCTCTGAATTGTCGATTTGTGTCTTTGAGAGCTGATCTGCAAATTACGCCACGGTTTCCCCAACATAGTTGCAGTCCACATCATTGCAACTTATTTTCCAGACAATCGCAAAGGTTTCCTCGGGTGGCAGCATGTCTTTAGGTTGCGCCAAACGGCGTCAAATTGTTGCTTGTGATCGATGG